AGGCAATGGATGTTTCGGCGTTTCGCCATCCACCTAATAGGCTGATACTTGGCCACTATACTCTTACCTATAGTACTTGATTGCTAGAATATCAGATATCACATTTCAAAATCTGAACTGAATTCCAGTTTTCACAGCAACATTTCTGGAACAATGGCTAAAGCTAATAAAAAGAGAGAAAGACGTCCAAATACATAGATAGAGAACGTAAACCTGTTATTCATCAGTCAAATTTGAGTTATCAGGACAGCTAATACCAATAACACAGGAAGAGATGCTCTGAAGGCAACTTAAGGGAAGATTAGATGCAAGCAAGTCGGAACCTTACTACAGTCATACATAAACTTTCTGAATCTCCATAAAACAGAAGCTGAAATTTTGATGAGGAATAAAGAAGGTAGCAGAGCAGAATACAAATCTGTTACCAGCAGTTAGTCTTGATGCTACAATAAACACAGACGCACAAAGCTGCCTGATGCAACTCCAACATAATACATTTATAAGACAAAATTGCCAGTCTGCCAGCCAAGTATATGTATGATAAATAAAATGTCTTACAGAATATGTCAGCCACCTGAGGAAACAATTCAATCTGATTATGATCATTAATTACCAGCAAAAATTTAATTTGATTTATCGAGTGCAATCACAATCAACAGGTGCTAATCACAAGGTAATATATTTGTTAATCATATAGTACTTTCTTATTTCCTACTATAATATACACAGATGGCATGAATGAAATTCTCTGTCTTCTGTCGTGCATATGTACCTACAACAGTCCTAGAATTCTCACCAGGTGGGATCTTCTCTTCTTTTATCCTTTTTTCCAGCCAAACAAGCCCAAAACTTCTCAAACACCACAGTAAAGAAAGGAAGAAGTGAGCTCCAACATGGAGGATAGTGGATAGACGCAACTCCAATTCTAAACTATCATCAATTAAAGTGCTTTTAGGGTACTCCCACAATAATCGCATCTCATGCAGCTTCATCCACAGCCCACAGGAGCTTTGTTAGCACAAGAATCACAGATAATGAATAACACAATAGTGATAATCTGCTACAGGAGATGTTTCAGGGTAGCAAATTAAAACCATGATTAACCCACGCTTCTACGAAGTTCCGACTCTAAGAAGGGTAGGGGTGGATGTAAGTAGTCGTATCTCCACAACTACACATATTTGTCCATAGTTCTACTCTACATGCAATGACTGGCTTCCTCCTCCAGAATGTATAAGCAGTGGAGGCAGATATAAGCCATATAAATGTTTTATGGTGAAACGCCAACTATAATTGCCACCTGCCACGGTCAATTCATGACATTTTCGCTCTCCTACATCTTTGTCCTTCATTTAATACTTCAAAATCCAATTTGCTATACAAGCCAAAATGCTTATCTTCTTCTTTGGAGCAGCAATTACCAAACCTTCAAAATTTACATCTTTAACTTTCTCCACTTAGTATCCTTTGATGGTGCAGATAAATTGCTTTCAAATCAAAATTAATCCGACAAGTTCTGCATATCATAAATAGATCTTGATGCTAGTTCATTCCCATAACTGAGGAAATCCTGCAGGAGTTACTTCACAGAGGCAATATCAACCAATGACATGCTGTAATCACCTGTGTGAGTTCTTACTTCCATACCATCTTTGTCTCTTGTCAGTGGATATAATCATATAACTTTTAAATTCCAAAAAAATATTTAATACAAACAAGACATCCACACAGGCACAAAACAAATATATCTTCAATGCTAAGAGCTGACTATATGAGTGGTATAAGTATAGCGTGTTCCTCTTCCAATATCTGCTTTAGAAAATTTCCTAGAATACGAAAAAAAACCAATCTATGGACTCAAAGGAGTCACTTCTCCACTTTCTCTTTCACACCAGCCCTATTCTATGTCAAAATGTCTTTGTAACTATCTCACAAGAAAATTTTTCATAGTTCCCCAACTTCCTTGTAACTATCACAAATCTGTTCTCGAAAGTTTTAAACATCTACTGTTGCACAAAAAATCAGGCAATTAGAGTGATGGTATTGATGTGGTGAATAGGTGTAAGAAAAGGCAGAGAGAGTAAAAAAAAAAAAAGTGGATAAGGTAAGAGAGAGTGATTGGAAAGGTGTAAATATTATGGGGAAAGGTAGGATAAAAGGAGTTTACCAAAAATTAAAATAAAGTGAAAGTGTTAAGAACATTCTAAAACGGATGAAAACGAAAAGTATTAAGAGCTTTCAGAAACGGACATAGTATTTGTTAGGTCATTAGGCATAGGAGCTTAAAAGGCAAGCACTCAACAGGGTAAATACAAAGGAAGAAAGAAGCCAGAAAAAAGAAATATTGGAAAAGCTTACGTCAAGTCGTCAACCAATAAAATAAATCTAAAGAGAAACACACATCAAAAAATACCGAGATTCTACACCCCACAGTTATATCAACCCAGCAGCATATGGTTACTTACAGAGTCATAGTAGAAGCAATTGCAAAAAATAGCCCAGTACAACCATTAATAAAGAACCATTAGCACAATGTTAAGAGATGAACACTAGAAATAATTCAATGTTAAGCAACAGTCTTAGTAGAGGCACCTACACTTTCCTCTGTGCACAATTCACACTCCAAATATTTTGTTTTTCTACAATTCAATATCAATCCTCAAGTTTTCAACCCTTTCCTACAATTAATGACTTATCATTATCACCTGTGCTGGACTCATCTACTAAAACAATATGAACGGAAAACACCATGCACTATTGTCACCAACTCAACATGACTCATCTAGCGTAGACCATCTCAACTTATAGTTGAAATTTGCAATGAGGAAAGCACAACCTGATCAAGATATTGTGTAACTAGATGGGAGGTAAATGAACAATGGTGGGTGTTTTAAGAATTTTTACAGTCTATCACATAGCAACCTAATTCCCTATTCCCTAATTGCCCAGCAAACTGCAAATCGAAAAGGGCAAATTAATACGTGAATGCAGTACATATTGGCCTTATTTAACAATACTAGCCTACTAGGTATCAATGCTATCAAATTATTTACCCGGGACCAATCTCGTAATGGTGAATCAAGTAACAATGGTCTATCATCCAGAATATTGGAGATATAAACCTAGAGGTTCTACAGGCAAAAGAGATCTTTTCTAGGAAGGTTGTTCGTCTGACTATGCCACACAGATGGAAAGTCAAGCTCTCCTTGAAATGAAATTACATTCCCACACTCTCAACTAATAATTGATGTGCAAAAATTGTCCCCAAAAGGGCCAACACAATTTGCTGGTGGAATTGCATTACCAAGAAGTTCATATTTTTTAAATGTTGTCAACACAGACTTTACTGTTCTACTTTAAATCTCTTTCATGAACAAGTACACAGAACACACATCAGTCATGACTCATGAGAATCATGAATTCATGACTGGCAGAAAGAAAGATCTCCAAATCACAAGATAGAATTCAGGATGGTATGAACCTTAAGCTATACAAGAAAAAGTGAGAAGTTATAAGCATCAAGTGACTCAAGTCTCTCAGTATGAAGTGGACTAATTACTAAACAATAAGCCGCCAAACATAATCAGCATTTTAATGAAACAAATTATAGAGGCGCACATCAGTCAATTTTTAAAAGTTTATACAGTGGAGTCTCGCTTCAATAAGGCCCACCAAAGCCCACCCAAGGAGCGCCTAGGCGTAATAGGATCCCTATTGCATTTGTGTGTCTGGATTTTTTTTGTACATTGAATCAACCATAGAAAAAGAAAATAATCATCCCAAACAAATGTTAAAAACATTGCAGTAATGACATTAGCAAGTCCAATAACCATGGATGCAGAGAGAAAGGGAATTAAAAAAAAAATTTAAAAAAATTGTAAGAAAAAAATCCAAAACAATCACAGAGAAGCTATGATAGACAAGCAATATGATTCTATACTCCATCTGCCCATCCCCTTAAATTTCTTGCGATGAAGATCAAAAATAAAGAATATTTTTGAAAGGGAAAAAAAAAAAAAAAAAAAAAAACAAAAAGAGGGTCTAAGAATTTTAATCAGCCTTAACCCTTGACAGCACGGTGAAGTGAAAATAAGGGTCAAAAGATCACCAACATTAGCCTAGGGTTTAATAAGAGACTTCAGGTCTCTTTGATGCAAATTTAACGTAGAATTACAGAGTTCACAAAAGTTACTATAAATGATGAGGGAGGTTGCAGAATTTCTCATCTTCTAGATAAAGGAGGCAAAGCCAGATTGAAAGACAGCAGCAGCACAACAAAGGAAGATCGAGATGCTCTCATCTTCTAGCTTGGGCCTGGGCTTCAAAACTGAGGAGAAACCTCCTAGCATTTGAACAGTGCTTTCCATCAAGAACAGCAATATATCATCCACCTGTAGCATCAAGATGGCCTTCATACTCACTGTTTGGCTTTCCTCCCTTTCCAGAAAAAAGAAAATTCAACCAACTTTCAGATATTATGATGAAGGGAGCTTACCTTGTTTGATAGGGTTTAAATGAAATCTCCAGTCCAGGATTTGCAGCAACCCAGGAAAAGATGCTTCCTAAACAAGTGAGTCCTTGGGAAAAAAAAAATTGGCCAGCTTAGGCAGTTGGAAGACTTGAAACTGTCAACTAAAACAGTGGGAGTATGATGGTGGTTTGCAAGCTTCAGCATCTTTAGTTCCTGCATCACAAGAAGCTGTTCTGGACTTGGAATAACGACATCCAGACTCCAAGTCAAAAGGAAAAGGCTCAAGGATTGTACTACAGAAAATTTGTTTTCTTTCACAGAAGATACCATGGAGGCTAGTTGAAAAGCAGGGGTTGATGCAGAGATTAAACAAGAATTTTGAAAATCTGCACAGCCGACTGGCAACAGCAAACATATAACACATGCTTTCACCAGGGAACATTACTACAGAGTACACTATCCGTAGCTAAGGAAAGGTATGTTCAAGACAGAATAGTTGAAATGAACAGCATGACTGAGGAGCAGAAGGTAGTTGTAAACATACGTAAAGTATAACCTTTCAGCGTTCACGAGTAGAATTTGAATAGAAAAAGGACAAAAAGATAATTAGGGGGAGCAAAACAGGAAAAGTTTTACCAAATTAATAAACAAAAGAAATAACCTTATATCAAAAAAGCCTTTTCAATTACAGCCTCAACTGCATAGAAAATGGAGAAGAACTACTTAAATGCTGCTTGATAGAATAACAGAAGGGGGATGGCAGAGAGAGAGAGAGAGAGAGAGAGAGAGAGTCACTAGTATGAAGCTTTCCACCTCCTCGCAAGACTATCTTAAGTATGAAGCTTTCCACCTCCTCTCAAGGCTGTCGTAAGTATCTCTTGCACTCCTGCCCTCTTTGTAGAAGATCTTTTGCAATGTCCTCATTGTGGATTCATAAATAATAATCCTCTGATCCAACATATCATAGGCAAACCTCTTCAACTCTGAGAAACGGCCAACCTTACACAGCCCCACGAGGAGCACATTAGCACATTCATCAACAGGCATCACTCTATTAGCAAGAACAAAGTTCCAAATCTCAACCCCTGTCTCTGGATCATCACGTTCAAATAGCATCTCAATAGCTGCAGCACAATTAGCCACTGTAGGAGAGACTTCATTCTTTGTCATCTCTTTGAAAAAGCTGGCCACCTCACGAACCTTCTTGCTCTTTACCAGACATTCGAAGATCATATTATAAGTTAGCAAGTCAGGGAAGACTCCATAAAATGGCATCTCATCAAGAAAGCGGAATGCATTGTCCACATCATTGTTGTTGCACAGCAGACCAATCATGGCATTAAACGTGATCAAATTGGGCATTATGCCGCTACCCACCATCGTATCCCACAAAGGTACAGCATGGGTTGAATCATTCTGCTTAACAAGAATATCAAGAGCATTAGTAAAGAATTTCAAACCTGGTAAGCAGCCTTTCCCTTTCATAACTTTGAGAAACTTGACAGCTTCATCAACTTGTGATCCACGAACAAGAGTCATCAAAAAAGCATTGTATGCCGCCATGTTCTTCTCATCCCAACCAACACGAACCACCATCTCCCCAAACGTGGTCTTAGCCTTGGAAACATTGCCCTCTTTTTCCCAACCCTCTAACAAAATAGCAAAGGTATCCCCATCCGGTGGAACCTTCACCTTAATTTTGTCAAAGAAATTGTAAGCCCTTTGAGTTTGATCCTTCTCTTGACAAATAGCACTCAACAAGGAGTTCACTGCAACCACATCAGGCTCAACCCCATACTTCTCCATCACATCAAACGTCATAATAGCATCATCAAATTTCCCAACCGCACAATAGTTCCCAAAAACAGACACAAAGGTGGGAAGTGAAATTAACCCCTCTTCCTTCATAGACCTAATAGCAGCCCATAATTGATCAAACATCTTATTCTTCCCTAGCAAATCAACCATCAAATTCCAAGCATAAACGGACGGTTTATGAGCAAGCCCCGCCCAACGAAAGAAGCTCACAGCAGCATCAGGGCTACCATAGGAGAGCTTAAGCACCTCCTCGACAAGCTCGGGGCTAGGGGTGATGGCACTACTAATCAACGCAGCTTCGATATCCGATACCGGGGTTCCATAAATAATATCACATAGAATTCTAGTTCTAGGGGTCACATAAGGAACATCAAGGTAAGTTGGGAAACTACTTTTCCCTTGATTTCCACGCTGTATGCTTTCTGGGTATTGCGATTTTGATAAAGGAGGGACTAATCTTGAAGTATAATTGAAATTATAAAAATCACCCATGTCACAAAATTTGTTCTTGTTCTTGTTCTTCAATTCAAAGGTTCAAACCCTCATAATATTAGGGCAAATAAACTACTATTTGATTTAACAATGAAAGAAATCATGAAAAATGTTAAACCTTAACTATACCAATCAATCAAATTGCATCAAATGGGCAAATTATGCACAGAAAAACCGAAAAGATGGGTAATTTAGCAGCGATTTGAAGAGTAGAATCGCTTACTAGATTTGCTTCGGGATTAAAATTTGTTCTTTGCTGCGAAAATACCAATGAAAAGTTTGTGTCTTTGATGGAAATTGAACGCCGGAGTTGTGGATTTTGCCGACGACTGTAACTGGCAAATGGCGCTTAGGCTCTCAGGGTCCTTTCTCAACGAACCTCGAAGTATGTTCTATAACTTCTTTTTTCTTTTTCTTTTTTTTTTTTTTTTTTTTTTTTTTTTTTTTTTAGAAAGTGTTCTATAACTTCTACTGTCCCAGAAACTAAAACAAACTCGGAAATTATGTTTTGTAGGCTTCTTTACTACGCTAGCGTGAAGACACTACGCTTTCAAAAATGATGGACTAGGAATTGTGACCAAAGATGGCAAAGGGGTGTGTTGGGTTGTGCTCGTGTGCTCATGTGTTTGACCTGTTCTGCTCTATTCTGCTGAAATATGTTCTATTCTGCTATACTTAAAAATAATAATTAATATTTAATAAAGATAATAATAATTAATATTTTATAATAATAATAATAATAATTAATATATAATATTAATTGATAAATATTAACTAATATTTAATGATAATAATTAATATTTTATATTATTTAACACATTTTCTAATGTTATAAAAAGAGTAAAAAAATCAAATAATAATAATAATAACGTAGAAACTCTCTCGGTTTGGGGCGATTAGGGTTGGGTAGTTTAGGCTTCCACGTCATTTTTTCGGCCACTTCTCCGGCTAGTTTAGGAGGGTGCATCTCTCATGTTGGCGGCTACTTCTCAGGTTAATTTTTCTGGTCCAATTGGTGGCGAATTTCACGTCCATAATCTAGTCGTATTGAAGCTAATTTGCGGGTATTTTGCGTCCTTGATCAAGTTGTTTCTGGGCGTAATAAAGGCGGGTTGCTCGTTCATAATTCGACAGGTTCCACGTCTGATCTTCTGATTATAATTCTCCGGCGAAGGGCTTCGTTTTTAGGCGTATATTGTGCAGTTTTCCAAGAGTATTTTCTGGCGTTTTCTAGTCATATTTTCAGGCGTTTTCTGGTCGTATTGCAGGTTGTTTCTGGGCGTGTATTTTTGGCGTGTTTCTGGGTGAGTGCAGGCTGTTTCTGGGCGTGTTTTCGGCGTTCATTGTGCCGGCGAAGGGGTCCTTTTTCTGGCGTTATTTCACTAGCATTTGGGGGCATTTTTTAGGTGTAATTTGGTCCATCATCTCGTCTTTTAGGGACTGATTTGGGTGTTATTTTGGTGCATTATTACTGCTGTTTTGGGTACTGTTTTCAGGCGATTTTTAAGGGTTGTTATAGGCGGCAACAGCGTGTTTGCAGCGTCTTTTTGTACCCTCTGTTTTTGGTGCAATTTCTGTTACGGTGGATTGTGCAGTGGTTTTTGGTGGTGGATGTGGGTAGCTATGTCAACTGCTGTTGTGAAGTTTCATTGTCCTTTTGTGGGTCTTAGTAGTTGTCAAGATGGAAGTGGAAATGGCCTTACTAGAAGTTCTCTTATAAAGCATCTTTCTGATCGTCATTGTTGTATTGGTGTGCGGGATATCACACGACATTCTCTTACTTCTAATTTGGCTGTTTATAATGAGGCTGAAATTACTTTTTCGCGTATGGGGATTTGGTTGTGTGGGGTTTGCTACAAAACGCATATGCTTCGTTCAAAGTGTCATAGTACGGGTGTGGACGTGTCTCCCCCGGATGAAGGAGATGGTATGGTTCATTTTGTGCTTTATGGTTTTTCAAAGCCGCAAGCTCTCTCTTCTCCACCTCGGCTTGGGAGCATGGGTGGTTTGGTGTAAGATCAACATTGTGGTTTTGATGTGGCTCTCCTTGATCGTTTGTTCTCTAGGGGGTTTCGCACTGTGAAGTCTATCCCTCCCAAGTGTCGTTTGGGGTTTTCTCAGGTTTTGAAAGGTGCTCATGATAAGGTGATCTCTAAGCCTGATGACATTTCTAATTGGGTCTCTTTGTTGGTGTTACCTTTTTGCACCCTTAAAACCTTTCTCCCGCGGAGTAGTCGTGAGTCTCGGTCTTCGGTGAAACGACGACATCAAGAAGAGATATTTCTCGTGCTATTTGTTCTTGGAGTGCACCCGATGGTAGTTTGCAGCTTCTGAGGGAAACTCTGACAGAGGATTCTCCTACTTTTTCCGTCGTTGATGATGGAACCTTGATTTGGAAAAGCGTAATATCAAGCAGTGTAGTTTTGGATTGGATTAAGAGTTTTCCGCGTGGCACATCTTGTGGTAGGGATGGTTTACGTGCTCAGCACCTTATGGATTGCTTGAGTGGTGCTGCTGTGGCTGTCTAAGATGAGTTAGTTAACTCTATTTCTGGGGTGGTTAATCTCTTTTTAGTTGGAAGATGTCCTATGGAACTAAGAGAGTATATTGCTAGTGCTCCTCTCACACCTCTTGTCGAGCCTGGTGGTGGTATTCGTCCAATAGCTGTGGGTACTATTTGGCGGCGTCTGGTTTCGAAGGTCGGTGTTGTTATTATGGTTGGCCAGTCTTTAGGAAGTTACTTTGATGGTCTCTAATTTGGTGTTGGGGTTTCTTCGGGAGGCGAGACGATTCTTCATGCCGAATCGGTTGATTGAGGATCGTGGTTCCGATGTTGGTTTATCTATGTTGTTGGTGGATTTTCAAAATGCCTTCGATCTAGTTGATCGTGCGTTCATTTACGTGAAGCTCACCGTCGTTGTCCGAGCCTTTCGCGATGGGTTGAATTCTGCTACTCTAATCTAGCTAGATTGTATTACGGGGACCACACCTTATGGTCGTCTCAGGGGGTGCAGCAAGGTGATCCCCTTGGTCCTCTGCTTTTTGCTTTGGTTTTACAACCCCTGGTGTGTAAAATTAGAGGGGTGTGTAAAATCAGAGACACTTTTGATGTATGTCTTTAGGCTTGGTATTTAGATGACGGCACTATTATTGGTGACACGTTGGTGGTGGGGAAGTTCTACAGTTGCTTATGGAGGAAGGACCTCGTTTTGGGTTACATCTTAACGTGGAAAAAATTGAAATTTTCTGGCCTACAGAAGACCGTCGAAGCAGGCTTGTGGGTGTCTTTCCACCTAATATTGCTCGACCCTTGCGTAGTGTTAAGTTGCTTGGTGGTCCCGCTAGTTCCGATTCCGGTTTTCGAGGTAAGTTTGTGATGCAGAGGGTGACCAAGACCATTGCGCTTATGGATAGGGTTGCTAAGCTTAATGATCCTCAGTGTGAGTTGTTGTTGCTTAGGGCTTGTACCGGAGTTTCTAAACTCTAATTTGCTTTGCGTACTTGTCCCCCTAGTACTTTTGAGGTGGCTCGGCGCACATTCGACGAGACTTTTCGATCTTCCTTGGAACGTATCGTTGCTGCTTCAGGGCCTGGGTTTGGCGATTGGCAGTGGCGGCTTGCCACCTTGCCTTTTGTGTATGGCGGGCTTGGTGTTTATTTCGCAGGTGATGTTCGTCATTATGCTTTTCTTGCTTCGCGGAGTCTGTTGGGTTGCAGACAAAGCTTCTATGGCATGCTGGCGTTGTTGGCCTTGGTCGAGCCTTTGAGGATGCGTTGAGCTTATTCAATAGAACGGTGGAGTTTGACATTTTGAGTAATCCTAGTGAGGTCGCTGCCCCTAAACTCATGAAGAAATTGGCATATATATATTTCACAAAGTTTACCGATTCTGCGGAACCCACCTTCTCTTATCTCCTCGTCAATTAGCATTGTGGAAATCGCAGCAGGGAGATCACACCTCTACTTGTCTTCGGGCGGTTCCTATTTTGGGGTTAGGTCAGACGATGAACGCAAAGACTTACTGATGTGTGTTATGCTACTGCTTGGGTGTTCCATTGTTCTTTATCTCGATGTCGTGCTCTGCTTGTTCAAGGATTTTTACTGGGGATTTTTTCGGTGATCATGTGGTGTTGTGTCCTGGTATAGTGGGTATTAAACATCGGCATAATATTGTGCGGGATACCCTTGTTAATGTTTGTTATCGGGATTTCAATTAGAAAGGAGGTTGACATTGGGTTGTCTGGAGGGAACGACGGGGCCCTCAGACCCGCAGATGTGTTACTTTATTCTTGTGATCGTGGTCGCGATGTCTGTGTTTACTTGACAGGGTCTTCTCCTTTGACACAGTCTGGGTTATATGACTTTGTTTTTGGTCGAGTTGCGGCTGATGCAGCTCATCGGAAGCGGGTCAAGTACGAATCCAGTTGTCGGGCGATTGGATATGGCTTCCTTCCTTTCTCTTTCTCTACACTTAGGGAATTAGAGAAGGAGGTGGTTGCATTGCTGAAACGGATCCAGAAGTTCTCGAAGACTCAAGACATTGGGGCACGCGTTGCTGCTCATATCTTCACTAGAATAGGATTTGCTATTGCTAGAGGAGTGGGGGCCCAGATTGTATCTCGGCTTCCCAGTAATTATTTGTAGGTTGTATGACTTTGTCTTTTTGAAGATATGATGATGATGATAATAATAATAATAATAATAATAATAATAATAATAATAATAATAATAATAATGTTGTTGCGCTACTGAAGCGGGTTCAGGCGTTCGCTAGGACTTAGGATATTGGTGCTTGTGCAGCTGCTCACATTTTCAACAGGATCGGGTTTGCTGTAACTAGAGGGGTGGGGGCCCAGATTGTATCTCAGTTCCCACTAAATTCTTGCAAATTGATTGACTTTGTAGATTTTTGTTATTATTATTATTATTATTATTATTATTATAATAATAATAATAATAATAATAATAATAATGTGATAGTAATAATAATAATAATAATAATAATAATAATAATGAAATCTCCTCTGCTCTACTCTACCCTGCTGAAATCTGCTCTGCCCTACTCTGCTATGCCCAGAAGCTCAAAAGAACAGGGCCTTAGTGTATGATATATAACTCATTTATTATGTGTATGTTATATTAGAAGAAGTTTTTAATATGACTCGACCTTAAAAATTTGATTCATTTAAAATGATTATATCTTTTTACTCCTTATCAGATTATGCCACATTCAACTCTTCTCTTGTTCCTTTTCATCTTTGAGTATTGTGCAACATTCAATTCCTTGCTTATCATGTTGGAGATGAATTTCCAATTATTGGTTCTATACATAGGCTCAATTCTTATAAGCCGTCTAAATAGTGTAAAAAAAAAAAAAAAAAGTTCTTCAATTTTGAAACAAAGTTGTCCTACTAATTTGAGAACGAGCATTCTACTATACGAACGGTCTATCCAAAGTACGAGAATGAAACATGGTAAACATGACCACAATTTTAATATCTTAGAGCGGCATATGAGTATTAATATGGTATTATGGCAGCCTCTAACTATGGTTAAATGTGCTTATCTTCTCCTAGTCTACCCCGTAAGCTTGGTGATGAATGTTATAATCTAGGAATTTATGTAATTTCATTAGACTTACTCCATAATCTTTACTAATTAGCCTCCGTATGGTACACAGTTTTAACAAAAATTGAAATTCATAATGTGAAATTTTAAGTGCACCAAAAAACAAAAAAAAAGAGAGGTATTTTTGTCATTTTAAAGAAGAGATCATTCAAGTAGCTTTAATGGAAAATGGGAATCTATTAGAAATGAAGAAGCTCACGAGTTCCATCAATGGTGAAAACCAATAGAAGGGGGGATATCAAACAAGCAAACGAAAACACCTTCCCTTTAGGGCTAACCATTCCCTTAATTTCTATATTTTTACTTAGGGTTTTCGTTGGATTCGGCGGCGAAGCCATGGAAAATGGTGGTATTGAGGTTTGGTGTCCGCCATAGATGGAGCTTGAAGAAGAAGATGAAGGTGTGTGGGATCAGAGAAGGAAGAAGAAGATAAGGTGTTAGTTGGGTGGGGATTGAAGGAACGAGGAAGGGAAATCATGGAAAATGGTGGTATTGAGGTTTGGTGTCCGCCATAGATGGAGCTTGAAGAAGAAGATGAAGGTGTGTGGGATCAGAGAAGGAAGAAGAAGATAAGGTGTTAGTTGGGTGGGGATTGAAGGAACGAGGAAGGGAAATCATGGAAAATGGTGGTATTGAGGTTTGGTGTCCGCCATAGATGGAGCTTGAAGAAGAAGATGAAGGTGTGTGGGATCAGAGAAGGAAGAAGAAGATAAGGTGTTAGTTGGGTGGGGATTGAAGGAACGAGGAAGGGAAATCATGGAAAATGGTGGTATTGAGGTTTGGTGTCCGCCATAGATGGAGCTTGAAGAAGAAGATGAAGGTGTGTGGGATCAAAGAAGGAAGAAGAAGATAAGGTGTTAGTTTGGTGGGGATTGAAGGAACGAGAAAGGGAAATCATGGAAATGGGTTATGGATCCCTAAAATAAGTACTTCGTATTAGTATACATCCATACAAGGGAAAAAAGTTTAATTATTAAAGTAATGGTGGAAGAGGCAACAAAACAACCTAAATTAGGAAGAAGAAATGCAAGAAAATTTTTAAATTTTTTTGGGAGTGAGGGTAGTCATGCACTGATCTTATGATAGGTACGTACAATTTTCTAGATTTAAACCTATGGAAGGATATAGCACAGAGGAAAAAGAAAAAATAAAAAAAGAGGAAGATGTCAATACTCATTAGTGTATTTAAATCGGAATTTTTTATAATAGCATTATGCATGCACAATTTGGAAAGGGAATGATATCACCGACTTTTGTTAATGTACATCAATATTAAGTTCAGATTAAAAAAAACAAACTAGAGCTATGTTAAGTTCATCACCTTATATAAAAACTTATTTTAGGTTAGATCACATAAAAACAGGTTCATATCAGAAAAAAAAAAATTTGTATTTAAAATGTATGTTATTGTTTTATGTGCAATTTTTTTTGCTAAATATATTTAATTTCGTAATGAAAGAAATTATGATAATTATATATTTGAAAAATATACGTTAATATTAATTAATATGAATATAATAAACCTCATTTGATATATATATATATATATATATATATATATATATATATATATATATATATATATTTTTTTTTTTTTTTTTTTTTTTTCTTTTTCTTTTTTTGGATTAATGTACATGTACGTTTCCAAAATAAAATAAAATATTTGAGTATGTACCAAAAATTTGGAAACATGTTATCTAATGTTATAGAATTTAATTTGGAAATTGGAAATGTGACAATTTTTATTTTCAAATGTTTTTATTTTTTTTATTTTTTTTTTATTTTTTTTTGGTTCCTCCACTCGGTTCACCCTTTGGGCTAATCTGGATTCGGGGCTCAGTTTTGAGTGGTTAGATTCCAATCTCCTCCCAATTGTTGTTGCGGGGGATCGGATATGCGGTCCTTTCTACCAAGTGCAGCCTCAATCACCACTGCACCAACAACCAATTGGTATTTTCAAATGTTATATGTACCAAAATTAATACATAGTGTCAAAAATTAAAATGTGTCATCTAATTTGAAACGGAGGAAGCAAATATTTCTGAGTCATAGATATTAAATATATCTCTTTAAATGAGTATTAAACTTTTATAATTTTAATTACTAGATTATTTTACATACTTATGGTTGAAGTTTTGTTACATCGATTGATTTGATTGACAAACATTTTTTTTTGGAGGGAAATGATTGACAAACATATTTGATCGAGATAATGCAGGTAACACGCGACACGAGACACACAAATACACAATGTTTCGTGGGCAATTCCTTTTTAAAAAAATAATAATAAAATAAAAACTGGCGAGTAGCAATCACCAAGCTATCAAATTTGGCTCATCCCAAAAAGACAACCATGAACCATCTACTTCTCAAGTTTTCCTCCCAAATTAAACTTAATTGCTTACTCTCAACATTGGTTTTTTAAAATCAATGACCTTATAAAAAAAAAAAAAAATGGCAAGCATAATTTCATCATCTTCTTACAATACTCATCACAAACTTTTACTACAATCATGTCATCATCCATCATCACAAACGTTGATGCGGCAAAACAAGAATCTGATGAGAACTTTCACCAAAACCCGAATGATGAGTATTGTGGAAAAAAGATGTAGAATGAGATTTATGGCGGTAATGGGTGATAAAAAGCACGGCAGAGTAAGGCCGAGGTGGGCGGAGGTGGTGAAGTGCATGGCGGCGGAGGGAGGAGGAGTTAGTGGTGCACCACTGGTGACGGAAAAGTATAGATACACGGTTGTTTGTTTGGTGGCGTTTGTAATGTGTCTTTGTAATGCGGATAGGACTGTAATGTCTGTTGCTATTGTTCCTTTGGCTCATACAAATGGTTGGTCCACTTCTTTCGTTGGAATTGTTCAGGTAACATTAGATTATTCTTATGATCTTATCAATTATTGGTTTAATTTCGCTTTTAGCTTGAGGGTTTGTTAATGATGACTCACATTTATTATTGGGATTTGGGGGGAAATTATTATTGGTGTTATGTTTTATTTGATACTTGTATTTATTATGTTGCTATGCATGTTTGAGGATAGTTTGATCACATATAAGTGTAATTAAAATTTATGTTTATAAATACACAATTGACAAGCCATGAAAGCCTAATAGCAGATATTGCCAATAAATTTAAGAGGTCTTGGCCTAGTGGTTCAGAATCTTAAGACCGATAATTTGTATACATTAAGTCACAAGTTCAAATTTAGTTAGAACAATAGAGGATTTCTAAGTTCAAAGTGGCCTGCATATAAGGCTTATAGGGTTCCATCCTAAAGCTATAATATTAGTTAGAACAATAGAGCACTCCTAGGTCCGAGGTGGCCCGCATATAAGGCTTATGGGGTTCCATCCTAAAGCCATATGGTGATAGAAAGAATAACCCACATGGCCACAACCTTATAAACTAGTCACCCTCCTCCCTTCATTTTTTCATTAATGTGGGACATTTGTTCTAGGAACACACATGAGAAACTTTAACGATAATGATATTAGTAGTAACAACATTAGTTTTATACATCTAACTATATTGTATTGAAGCATGGCTTTCGCAAACTAACATATGTGAGTGTTCCACATTGATAAAGATGAAAGAGTTAAAACACTTTATAAGGTTAAGGGGCTATTGCTCCCATTGCCATATGGTTTTGGGATGGAACTTCCTTTAATTTGTGAAGTGGTGCAACTTAAGCCCGTATTTAACATGGTATCAAATTTAGGCCTACTGCCTATGGTTAGGATGGTTTTAATGTACTTATCTCACATGTGAGGGGGAGTTTTATCATATTGATAAAGGATGAGAGTTATTGCCATATGATTTTGGAATGGAACCTCTTTGGACTTGTGAAGTTTTCTCTTTCTTGGTGACGAGTGCAGTCAGAACTCGTATTGGACTTGTGAAGTGAACTCCCTCTATTGGTGACAGGTGCGGACCCGTATTTAACATGGTGTTCCACATATTATCAAAGAGTTAATGCAATATTGCAATATTTGGTTCAATTCAAGAAGCTCCACATATTCTCAATGTATGGTTCCACATATTTTCTTATTCTCAAAGTGTCGATATGATGAGAGTGAGGGATAGCTCAAGTGGTTAGAGCTTTCCTCCTGGTTCTAGAAGGTCCTTGGATCGATTTTCACCCCCGCCCTTGTGGCTCTCTAAACACCAAAAAAAAAAAAAAGGTGTTGATCTGATGCAGTGTATGGTTGATGTTTTCTACCAAAATTTCTTTACATGATTATTCATGGTAGCCTCCTTGTTACCTCATAGAACCACATGAGGATGCAGGACTAACTTATACTTGCTTGAATGGATGAGCCTTGAACTCGCAGCCTTTGGGTTGTGATTCAGGGAGTAAATTGCTACCCTTCTTCCCAGGCCATTGTCTATCTAGACTATGTCTTAATAGAATTCTTGCCTGCAATGAAGTATAGATTGTGTACGAGTTTGACTTAACGCCTACAATTTCATAATAAAATGTTACTTGTCTAGTTTTATTATCCTTTGATTAATTTTAGGGGATACCCCCATTAACTTGCACAATAATCTGGTTTCTTGGTTTACATAATGAGCTTAGGCTAGACACCTATGCATCCTCTACATTTAAAAACATGTTAGATACGGAGTTTAAGAAGTATTTACTGATTCATGACCAGCCATTGACTCTGCTTATCATGCTAGATAACCAGATGATCAAATCATGCATTATTAAGGGAGTATGGACATGCAAATGCTATATATGAATGTATCCATTTCATATAATTTGTTTTGCTTGCAGTCATCATTTCTATGGGGCTATATAATATCCTCTGTAATTGGTGGAGCAATAGCAGACAGATTGGGAGGAGCACGAGTAATGGCATGGGGTGCTGGATTGTGGTCCTTGGCCACTCTTCTTACTCCATGGGCGGCCAACCATTCTGCTGCCACCCTCTTGGCTGTTCGTGCTCTTTTTGGCCTGGCAGAAGGAGTAGCTTTCCCTTCCATGAACATCCTCTTATCAAGGTAATTCCTTCTTTATCAACGGCCATTATCTTTATATGTGCATAAATCTTATTTTAACATTATGCACATCAGTTAAAAGAAATTTTCAACTTAGAAGTTTAAAAGAAATTTTCAACTTAGAAGTTTGTAGTTGTGTCTGCGCCCCCAATCCCTTCCCCCCACCCCCAACTTTTTATTGTTCCAAATCTACTTGTTTTACTTTCATGATAAAAGGAAAATATTTTGGCCACTCAATCAGCAAAGAAAGTACAGTGATGACAAAATTTATCTGATAAATAATGAAGAAAGACTAGAACAACGGAAGATTTTGGTACTAGTTTGTATACATTCCTAACTGACAAGACATGATTATAGTAGTTTAAAGGTCTATTTTAGGCTATCAAGCTTATGCATTATTCATAGCAGTCACTTTCTATTTTTTTTTTCAGAAAAAAAAATTTTAAGTTAAAATGAAGTAAAAGAAGACAGGTTGCTTTGATTACCTTTACTTTGATTAGGTGGTTTCCAATCCATGAGCGTGCACGAGCTGTGGGAATCTCCATGGCAGGATTTCAACTTGGAAATGTAGTAGGCTTGTGCCTTACTCCAATTTTAATGTCAGTAGTTGGAATATCAGGACCTTTTGTGTTGTTTTCTTCTCTTGGACTACTTTGGCTGGTGGCGTGGGCTTATGGAGTTGGAAGTGATCCTAGAAATAGCCGTTTTGTCAGCAAGTTAGAGGTCCAACTTATTGAAGCTGGGAAGGCAGTTGATACTTCTCACAGCAATGGCAAAAACCATCGTCTTCCAATAGGCCTTCTCTTATCAAAAAGGCCTTTTTGGGCAATCCTTCTTGCCAATATTATCAATAATTGGGTAGGATTATTTTATATTTCACAAGTTCTACAAAACAAAGGAGCTTACAGTCTGATTGAATAACTAATGCCATATAATTCTTGGATTATCAGGGATATTTTGTTCTTCTTTCGTGGATGCCTATTTATTTCAATACTGTAAGTAACATTTACAGTACATGCTGCTCCTTATGTTATTCAAAGGCATCCATTCAGCTTTCGTTGATGGGTTTAGGCTGTGTAATGCAGGTACTAAATGTGAACCTAAGAGAAGCAGCATGGTTTAGTGCTATTCCATGGGGAGTGATGGCGGTATCGAGCTTTGTTGCTGGCTCAGCATCTGATTATCTAACCAAAGCTGGCTATTCATTGGTATTTGTTCGTAAAATGATGCAGGTAGTTTGTCCCTTTCCATACTTCTCTCTGCATTCTTCTGTTTACAGATCATGATTTTCTACATTTTATTTGTTGGCATTTCTGTTTTCAATTGATCATGCAGTTATGATGTTTGCAGTCTATAGGATTTATCGGACCTGGATTATCATTACTCTGCTTAAATTATGTCAAGACTCCAGGAGTTGCATCTGTCGTTCTTACAGTTGCTCTGAGCTTGAGTTCTTTCAGTCAAGCTGGGTATTTCCTCAATGTACAAGTAATGACCCCTTATCTCTTCTTCTCTCACCAAAATTTTCTAAGTCAGTGTATGTTATCTTAATGGATGTCAGCTAAGTCAATTAACAATAAGCCTCAGAGGTGATACTTGTTTAGGTCAAAATCTGACCGTCATATTCGACCAGGTTTCAATAGGACAAAAGCTAGATTAATAAATATGCAAATGCCGATACAGGTTCAAAGAACAAAGATATTTGATTAAAAGGAGAAAAACAAAGGGGAAAGGGAGAGGGAGAGACGATATGATGACGCAGAAAACCCAAGAATAAGGGTAGCGTTGAGTCCACCAATCTACTAATTTGAGAATTAAGTACAGGTACATTGTAGGTTGTAGTTTGATCAAGAATGAATCTGTAATTTGGTTGCTAATTGCTATAGAAAGGAAAGCTTAGGACTCATCTCTTGTGTTTTTACAATGGTTTTTCATCCTATTTATAATAGAAGAGCCTTTTGAAGCCTTGCAACAGCTCCTTTGTTGATTCCTTGAAAATCGGGGTTAGTTGCTAGGTTCACCTCCGAGATTCATGCCATACTCTCCTTGTGCTTATCCATTGCCTTTTTGACTTGTTCAAACTAATAGCTAGTTGGAGTTTATGGTACCTATTTTTATGGAATTTCTCTTGACTCATTCATACTTGGATTCTCTTAGAATATTCCTTGGAAAGATATTCATTTAACTTCCCTTGACTTTTGGTAACCTGGTTATTGACTTTGTAGTAACCTGTAACCTGCAGACATTTGAACCTGTAGTGATAATTTAGGCATAACAATACTCAGGAGTCAAGTATATAGTTTGGTCTCGTACGTGTTAAAAGTGATCTCTTCACATTTTTTTTTTGAGATGGGTGGTATACAAACCTGTATGGTAATGTTATTTTGTAAAATTGATGAAAATGGGTCTTATTGTAAGTTATGGTAAGATTAATTTAATTTAACATGCTCTCTCTAGAGTGATTGTACACCAGCTCAACAATTGGTGTCTGGCGTGGACTTGCATATAAACTGTCTTGAATATTAATCGAGATCTCACAAAATTTGTTGTGCAGGATATTGCTCCATATTCAACAGGGCTTGTTCATGGTACATTATCGATCTCTTTCTATACATATAGAAGTAGCATATAAGAGCATAGTATTGGATACTGATCAGCCAAATTTGTTATCAACAGGTATTACAAATGCAGCAGGGACATTGGCTGCAATAATCAGCACCATTGGTGCAGGCTACTTTGTGGAATGGCTTGGATCTTTCAAAGCTTTTTTGACCTTGACGGCAATGCTTTATTTTGCTGCAATCATCTTTTATAATCTTTTCGCCACTGCAGAACGAGTAGTTTGATATCCGAGCTAACCGAGATCATAAATTGTACAGATATGTTAAACTCACAATATTGCAATGTTGTAATATTTTTTTTTTCTCAGTCAGATGTAATTATTCAGCCTAATTATTCGAAAATGTGTATTTCTTAAAAAAAAAAATAAATAAATAAAGAGTACAGAAATGAAACATCTTGTTTCTTTTACTACCTCCATTTCCGAAAGTTCTTAACATATACTATTGGCACACATTTATGGATTTTTTTAGCGTTGTTTGCTGAATAATCCTTGCATACTGTCTTATCTAGCTTTGTGCATTGAACCTTGATATTTATTTACTCCATTTAAAAAAAAAAAAAAAAGAAATTTATTGAGACATAAGAGGTTGTGCATTAATGAACCTTTATTCATGATTTGGCATGATTTTGGCCTCAATTTATGCCAACACATTGTTGATTTACTTAGAGATTGACAGCTTGAAAATGTCAAGTGTAAAAGATCATCGATTTTGTAGTGATTGTAATGATATATTTTGTTGATTAGTAATGTGTATAAAGACATCAATTATGTTATGTAGTGAGTATGAATCTTTCAAAATTATAATCTCATAAAATGACAATGAAATAATCATGTCGCCACATACCATTCACATCGAACACATGTCAATAAACAATGGTTTTAACAAATTTTAAAGGATTAGTTGTCATTTTTCTTGATTTATTATTGGTGAATTTTAGTAATTTTTATGATCAAAGTAAATTTGTTTTCAAAATTTTACTTGTTTTTGTTGAACTTTTGCTAATTACTTTAATTTTAATTGATACCTAACTTATTTTTACTGAAATTTACTGGAAAATAATTTATTGTGTAAAAGAATAATTTTTATTTTGGATAAAAACACAACACAAATATATATACTTTGTAACATATACCTAGAGTTGACAAACATGCCATATTATGTCGCGCGTGTATTAGTTTTTAAAGTAATATAGGTTAGGTATCCCTCTACAAATTTTCACCCAATTATAATAGAATTTAAACTTATGACCTTGAACTCACAATCCGCAACGTTAATCGAATAAATCGAGTCATAAAACGATACTGTGGGAGATTTAGTTTCGGAAGGACACGCTTGCGACTTGAGAGTCTCCCATAGGATAAAGACACAGCGCAAATATATATACTCTGTAACATATAACTAGAGTTGACAAACATGTCATATTGTGTCGCACATGTATTAGTTTTTAAAGTATATAGGTTAGGTAACCCTCTACAAATTTTCACCCAACTATAATAGAATTTAAACTTATGACTTTGAACTCACAATCCGCAACATTAATCAAAGAAATCAAGTCATAAAACGATACCGTGGGAGATTTAGATTCCAAAGGACACGCTTGCGACTTGAGAGTCTCCCATACTTCCGTTACATTCACGACTTCCAACTCTCACTATCACACTCACTCCACACAACTATTACAAAATTACAAACTACTTTTAACAAACTACTAAATTCCCAATTCTCTTCGTTCATACTGATTACTCCCCGGAAAAAAAAAATAAAAAAAATAAAAAAATAAAATTCAAACTCAAAATCACAAACTTCATTACTCCAGTTTTCTCAACAAAAATGAAGACTCTAAAGCCTAATTTCACACTATCTCCAACTCCACCCCTCTCAAAATCCTCATTTTCTCAATCAAAATCAACCCAAAATCTAAGGAAATGTTCCCATTATTTAAGGGTATATACCCTTAATCCCATTTCATGTTCTTCTTCTAATAAGGTATCACCCCCTTCTGCTCGAACTTCATCTTCTTCTTCGACTTCTTTAGTGGTTTCTGGGGTGGGTCCCACAAGGTTCAAGGGTCATTCTTGGAATTCTGAGATCATGGAGGAATTCCTAGAAAAGGTGTGTTTCTGTTTCTCAGTTTTAGACCTTTTTGTGCTTTTTAATTATATAAAGTTATTATTATTATTTTTTTTGTTGTTTTTAATCTATTTAATATGATCATGTACGGATTTAATAGTCGTAATGATAGAGTAATTTGATGATTGAAATAGTAATGTGACAACTAAATCAAAAGGACGTTACTGAGGTATAAGTCATTTGTATCCTTAAAGGATTCAGTTGAACTTGGTTAGTATTGTATTGGTGTTGTAAAATGGAAATCAATATTGTATTGGTCTATTGGATAATATTCCGTACAATATTTGTTTGGTGCAAGTATTGGATATTAATATATTATTAAACATGTTACAGTATATATATATATATATATATATTTTAATATGTTGTATCATTAGAATTGTAATACTTTTATTGTTACACCATTTTGATTATCTGCTTATACTGGTATGACATAAACAAAAACTATATACAAAGTATAAAACATCGATCCTTGGATTAGTTTAATTGTACATTTTCGATGTATCAATTGTCAAAGTTGTATGTCGTTAAATACTCCTAATCTTGGTCTAGCTGTTGCAAAGTAGATTACCAAGCACACAATCAATATGTACTTGCCACAAATTTCAGGCAATTGTGGATTTTGTTTTATTTAGTTGGTTAAAAGTAGGGGTGTTAATTCGGGTAAACGGTTCAATTTCGGGTAGGGTTTATCGGTTTCGGGTTATAACGGGTTGAAATTATTAGCGGGTCGGTTTTGAAAATTATCGGGTCAGTTCGGTTTGTTTTTTTTTATTTTTATTTTTATTGCGGTTTCTATTCGGGTGGGGTCCTAATCGGTCAGGTTGTAATCGGTTCAGGTCATAATCAGTTTGGGTTGAACCGGATCGGTTTGAAAACGGGTTTAATTAATTAAAAAGGGGTTTTGATTCAAAACATTTCGGGTCCTAATCGGGTCGGGTTGTAATCGTTTCGGGTCATAATCAGTTTGAGTTAAATTGGGTCGAATTGAAAACGGGTTTCGGTTCAAAACAGATCAGGTGAAATCGGGTCGGTTCATTATTGGTTCGGGTCATGATCGGTTTGAATTAACCGGGATCAGTTTGAAAACAAATTTACCCAATTTGAAGCGGGTTTCAGTTCAAATCATATCCGGTTAAAATCGATTCGGATCATTGTCAACTTAGATTAATCAGATAATGGGTAGGAATGGGTCAAGTTATAATCGAGTTAAGTCTTAATATGTTGGGTTTATCGAGTAGTGAGTTGAAATAGATCAGATCATAAACATACTGGGTTACGGGTTGTAAACGGTTCAGTCATAATGGATTACGGGTTGTAAACGGTTCGGTCTCAACGGGTTACGGGTTGTAAACGGTTCGATCTCAACGGGTTACGGGTTGAAAACGGTTTAGTCATAACGGGTTACGGGTTATAAACGATTCGGTCACAACGGGTTACGGGTTGGAACGGTTCAGGTTTATCGGAATTTATCGGATTTTTACCGGGTTTAAACAGTTTTCGGTTTAAAATGGGTTGGGTTACTATCGGGTTCGGATGTAATCGGTTCGAGATGCTTTCGGTTTCGGGTTGTAATGGTTTGGTTTGAAAACGGGTCGGCTCATTAACGGTTTGCACAAATGCGATTCAGTTCAATTTCGGGTTGGAAAAAATTGGGTCGGGTCGGTTTTCGGTTTTCAAAAAACGGGTTTTTAACGGTTCAATTCCTTTTCAGATCGGTTCAAAACAGTCGGGTTTAACGGTTCGGGTTAGAAACTGACAGCTCTAGTTAAAAGTTTTAAGAGGTGGTACACTAGTACTTAAAACTTGAAATCAAATTCCGGGTATATTACTCCTATTTATGACTCTCTGTACTCCAAAAAAATTGTAAAAAGTTTTCCCTTGCTCTCACTATCACTCTCTTTAATTGCGTTAACACCAACGACATCGGTAAATTTGCTGTCCTTCATTAATGTCATAATGCATCTCTTAAAACTTCCAATGACTTTGTAACTTGTCCTTAATGTTGTCTTGCAACTCCTTAAACATGTATTGTGCACAGATTATTTGTTTGTTTTTTTTGTCTGTTTATTTGTTGTTGCAAAATGTATATTGATATTGTAGAATGACTTAAAGAAATTGGCTAAATGATATTATATTTAGGATCAAATTCATCAAAAGGAGTGAAACAAAACTATTTGCACTTTTTTCCTCACTTTGGAGGGGTGGGGGTGGAGGGGTTCAGATTGTTGCACTTTTATGTTAGATTTTAAGTCCTAAAACTAGTTTGTGTTATTGATTGGTTATTTTGGGTTGATTGATAGGTTATCTATCGATGTCGATTCGTGACATTTCTTGGAGTATTTGGTTCCTTGATTGGGTCGATTCTTTGCTTCATCAAGGTAAGCTCTAATTTATGCTCTATTGAATGTTGTTCTTGAGAGTGCATCAACATATGATACGTATATGCTTCAGGCTTTGTAATCTAAAATATATCTTGTTTTTTCGTCTCAATGAACGATAATATGAGTGGTTCCGCCTGCCATATTTCAGAAGGCTTTTACCAAGTCTGTAGGGTGGTTGTATATGATCAAGGTTTCTTGCATGGGTTAAACCAATTCTTAATTGTTTAAGCTTGAAATTTGTACACAGTAATATATTTTGTTTTTTCATTAGCTTTGGTATCTATCAGACGATACAGGGTATTTAATTTTAATATCCTAAAATGTTGTTTAATATTTCATTTTTGAGCAATAAGTCTATAAGTTTAGTTAAATGAGGTCTTGCTTACATGTCTCTCTGACTTTCAGTTATTGATCATTTGGTAGTGTTAGGCCTGTAAGCTTAATTTCACTTTTAACTTCTAGAACCTGCCTACTTCATGCCACTGATATAGTCTTCTTGGATGTAGGGTTGTGGTATTGTGGCATCGTCTTTCTATGAATACTTTGCACAGAGTGGGAAGGTGATTGTCTTGGTGATTGAGGCCATAGGTGTGTTTCATGAACATCTTCGTTTGTTGTTTTAACAGGGTTATTGTGACAATGTGATTGCTTTTATTGTGAATTTTCTCCTTTCTATTGTTCAGGAGTAAATGGGGAACCAGTACTTATCAATAATATTACATTATTTTAGCATTCTAAAATCAGTCATTCAATAGAGTTCGGGAACTTCAGGAACACAGATATATATGATTTGTGAGGTCACCTATCTCAATGTAGAATGTTAAATCTCATAATTTGGATTGGACCTAGGAAATAACTCAAATAAGTACTTTCATGCCCCATCTACTGGAGGTCATTTTTGACGAGTTAACGCCCTTTCTTTGAGGATAATTTATGAGGTGATGGGATTCATTACTATTAGACCAAAACACCTCATGAACAGTAACAACAACTAAACCGATGACTCTAGAGAAGCTCCTTCCAATCTGCCATGTCCAGGTTATAAATTGTCAGACATAAGCAATTTTACACCTGAGGTTATGGAAGAGGTGTTTTCAATTAATCCTTAGCTTCATTCACTGTACAACAGCTATCAGTTGCTTCAGAATGAATAACAGGCTTTGCCTTTTTAGCCTTTGTCATGAGCCCTTGTAATTTCTAACTTCATTAAAAAGAGGTAGCCTGCACTGAACTACTTCCACCATCCTTTTCTGATTTTCTTTCGTCTTCTTTCCTTTCCTTTTTTTTTTAACGAAATTTGCTTTGGATATGATGCGAAGTGTGAAGTGGTTGGCAGCCTATCCCATTTTTTTGGTTAGGTTGCATGCATTTGAGCTTACCAGAGCCCTCTCTTGGTAATTGCTGTGTAATAAACATGAATCCTATATGCAAGATACTTTTAGGAAAGTTACTTTTCCTATTGTCATAATGTCTTAATCTACGAGCTTCCATCTAATAGTCCTTTTCTTGACATTAGACGGAAGAAAGAATAAAAGGTTATTATATTGATCTCAAGTTAGTAGACACTGTGCTACTTCCCTTAATTGTCGACAAATGCTTGTGTATGACTTGCTAATTTACGTTTAATGCTGGTTCCTCCTGTTACAAGTCTTACAACGCCTTAATTTATTTCATTGCTCTACATGCATAAAACATCAGGCCCTTATTCTGAATCAAATTGCACTTTCATTTGTGAGGCTGGAAGTTTACTTTGTCATATTATTATTGTACCAGATATTTATCTACTGGGAACAGTGATGCTTATCTTTGGAATGGGTCTCTATGAGCTCTTTGTGTCCAACCTTGACATTGCAAAGTCACTGTCAGAAGCGAAGCATCAGCATCGATCAAGTTTATTTGGCTTATTCCCTTTAATGGTAATTATTCTGTACTTTGGTCTTTAATATTGTATTTAGCTATGCCGTAAACAATTTGGCTTCACGGTAGAGATATTATTCATATTGATCAGCAAACTTCACAGTTGCCTATGAATTAAAAGGCTGATGATATTAATGACTATTCAAATCATAGGTAGGTAAGGAGAGGGTGTGGGGGGAGGGGTTGAACAGTAGATAATCTTTTTCGTCTAGTGCTATGTTTGGTTTTGAAGAAGATAAATTGAATTGGATTTTATTTTGTAGAACATATAACAAATATCAATCTTTATTTTCCTTTATTTTGTTCTATTCCCAAATTATTGAATGGGATGGAGGGTTGGGGGAAAAGAGAGGAGAGAAAGAGTTAAGGCATGTGTCGGACAACTGCAACATCTTAACGTTAGCATCGTCTTCTTCACCCTTGGGAAAACTATTTTCAGGCAAACAAATTCTTTAATTTCTTCTAAACAGAGGAGAAATCCTGAAAACTATTTTGATAAAGGACATCTCACAACCAATCACAGCCTTAAGAGTTAAGACTGCTCTCAATCTTGCTGCCCTGGATTTAGTATCTTTCTCCTTCAACGTGCAGGAACGACCAAGATGGCTGGAAATTAAGTCAGTAAGCGAGCTGAAGACTAAGGTAGGACATGTAATTGTGATGCTGCTCCTGATAGGGCTGTTTGACAATAGTAAGAAAGCAGCTATCCACTCTCCTACTGATTTGCTTTGCTTCGCAGCTTCTGTTCTCCTTTGCTCTGGTTGTCTTTTTATGCTCTCTAAGCTTAACGACTCAAAATAAATTTGGTACATGATGTTGTAACTATAGTAAAAAATGGCATATTAGCTATTAGCAGCATGCTTATAGGAAATGTTTTACCCCTTAAAGCTGTACTGGAATCATATGTATATATATAGGCTGTTATGGAATGGGAAATTATAATAATTGATCAGATAACCCAGCATAAGCTGTGCATTCCAAAAATTGGCCATATATTTGTTTTCCAACCTTGTGATGTTGGTTGGAAAAATTGGGAGGGGGGAGGATATTTGACCCTGCAACCTATTGTACACTTGTTCTCGAACCTTTAGCATTAAACCAAGACTTGGTCATTGGTGTACATAGTATGTAGCTTATATGTATACATGTGCCTTTTAAAGTTTTTATCCCTCTTTTGATATAATCAAGTTAGGAGCTTGATTTGGATCTTTTTTTTTTTTTTTTTTTTTTTTTTTTTTTTTTGGGTAGTAAATCATTTTCATGTTTTTCCTATAAGTACTCATTTTCATATATATGTATGTGGAAAAGTTAAAACTATAAAATAAAGGTAGGTGCTTTATATAATCCTATTCAAAAGTCCCTCCATGATTGGTTTACTCAATTAAAAAAAGAGAAAATTAAATGAAAATTACTTGTAAAATGTTGAAAATCTTTACTTAATACTAGTATAAAATGTTGAAGAACTAAGGATACACCCCATCTAGATTCTACTTTACACATTTGATATGGCTCGAGGATTAAGAAAAGGAGAGTGGGAGAAAAGATCTCACCATGATATACTTTATGCGGGCCCAAAAATGAAATAAAGAGAGCAATTGAAATTTTTTTTAAGGTGTGTGGGGTTAGATAATGTTGGTGGGTAGATTTGTTATTTTGTTTTTTAAGAGTATTGTCAAGCTATAACCTTTGTAGCTTTACACAATATACAAGTATTAGATTTTGATACTACCTCTTTTATTAACAAGTAACTTTGTAATTTAAGTAGGTTCCACATGTTCATCATTTTTTTAACATATTTTTATATACTACTTGCATTCTTTTTATTCTCCTATTTGCTTATGTAGCTTGATTTTTTAGGCAAACTTGGCCTATTACACAAACTATGATTTGGCTACAAGAGTTGATTTACATTTCCAATGGCTTTTCAATATTATGGTTGTCCAATCATTGAATTAGCCGCCCTATAAAAAATAAACTCACAACCCAAGTTGACTAGATAACAAAGTCATATATGGATAGTAACTAGGTTAACTTGACTTTGAGATTGACTAGATCCAATTAAACTCAAACCCTTTTGCACTAGCCAAAATTTACCGAAAATGATCTAATACTTCCTTCGTTTCTATTTAGTTGACACGTTTATTTTAGGCACACATATTAAGGAGAGGAGAGAGAATAAGAGAAAATGATAAAGTAAGTGGGGTACACTAAAAAAGTAAGGTATAAAACTTACTCAAAAAGGAAATGTATCAACTAAAAATAAACTTTCTAAAAAGGAATACGTGTCAACTAAAAAAAAACGGAGGTAAATATAAGATAAACCAAACTTGGAAATGAATAATCTGGCCTAAGATGACCAAAACTTGAAAATGACTTGATTTATTTATAACACAACTCAAACTCAAAAATGTTGTAACTTAATATGACTTTAATCCGTCACTTATGACCCAACCTCCCTTGAACCAAACCTAAATATGACCTAACCAAAGATTATGCAAACTTGAAACTGACCAAATCTTGACGGCCGTGGACATGAAAATTACCCATCAAAGTTGATCCTACAAACCTGAAACATCACGAATTTATCTGACAAAATCTCACCTAAATGTGAACGGACTTAACAATGACTCAACAATAATGACCTAGACCCGAGGATAACTCGATCTGGCAGTAACATGTGTTGTCTTGGTCTTTCGTTGGTTAACCGAAATTCGATCTCAACACTCGTTTTGACAACCTTGTGTAGTACCATTTGTTTTTAGGATGGAGCCTTGCCATGCATGAATGTGTGTGATTAAATTTTGCTCATGCATACGTGGGCTTCATTGATTTAGCGCAATAAAGATTCATCAAGAGAGGTATAAGGGAAATCATGAAAATGATTTACTACAAAAAAAAAGTTAATCTTACTTTTTTATTGTGATTTTTTTGTTCCATGGTATGGTTGTGTTTAACTTTCAAAGGCAATAAACCAATGTTCCAACAGAAAAGTCATAATGTTTTTTCTTTTTCTTACTTTAAAAAAAATCGTGTTACAGAAAATGCATAATATAATTGTATTTGGGGACTATATATATTATAATCTCATTGATTACAAGAATTTAAGGCAGTGACTGTCACACCATATGTTTTGGTGTTAGGGCCATGATAACATGGGGTATACCAAATACAAGAGCCACTTCCATATACAATCTCACACCCTAAGTTCAAACTACAAAACTGAAGCACACAACTAAACCAATAAAAATAGCTATAAATAATTTTGATATAGTAATTTAGCAGTAAATTTAAGAAAAAAAATGGTGAGTAGTACACTGCTAAACCATTAACATCAACGTGAGCCTGGAAGAGATGTATGTCCTGCTCCGGGGCTACGACCAGGAGAAGTTGGCCGATATCCCTCAGTCTCAGTCTTCTTGTAGCGGTTCACCTTGTAACCTATCGAGACTGCACTTGGAGGCCTCACAATGAACCTCACTGAAGGAGGCCTTTGCATGTTATGAACATGTGTAGGAGTTGGCCTAGCAGCCGCCACCACGTTAAACTTTGGTAGTAGTAGGATGACTACCAAAGTTGCAAATAACAAAATTGTGATTACACTCGTATTCTTATGTAAGTTAGCCATGGAACGATACTCCTTGGAGGCGAGGAACGAAGGAGGTTGGTTAGGTCAAAGTGGTGTAGTGTAATGGTGTGATGTACAATAGTGAGATGTAAGGGGTATTTAAGATGATAATCAAAAGGTATTATACATCAAGTTGGCTTAGTAGTTGATTAGTTTGATGCACATGGTTTAGAGATTAATAAGTACATTAATGTACTAATTTATAAAACCTAAGAGTGGGGAAGTTTAATGGTACTAAGCTTAGAGTAAGGAAAGAAGGCAAATAACATGCGAATTATTCCATTTTTGGAAAGTATATTAGTATTGACTGATATCATTTCCTAAACTATACATCTTACATTTTTAAGGAAAAAAAGATTGGCTTTATTGATTAGACAACACTAAATGTCTTTAAAGTGCAATTTGCCATTTAATTGTATATTTTTTTTTTAACAAATATTAATTGTATATTATTACATGCTTAATCTAATACATATACTCTAACCAACAAGCTAGAATTTATTGAAAAACTCAAGTAAAGGAAAAAGGAAGTTATTTTTAAACACATATCCTACATAGAGATATGTACCTGCGTCAAATATATACATACTCAAAATGATTCTTCCGCTTAGTTGTTGAGAATCCCTTGTGTTATTCCAAAGTAGGACGTTTCGGCTAGATGAAAACAACGCTAGCTTCTTTTTTGATACTCTTGTTCTTGAGGTTTTGATGTATAGACCTAGCTAGGACCCTTTCTAATATCTTTTCTCTTGTGATTCGGTCGCCAAATAATATTTCAAAGTGATTCTCATTTCGATCAATGTTCAATTTGTACAAATCTTTGGATGAAATTGTTTTGTATTTCTTCCATTCTCTTTGACTCGTAAGTGGCTTACAACAGTTTGTCAATTGCATGATTCAAAAACCTTTCATTCAAGCATCTTTGGTGGTTTATACGTGAACTATGCACAAACTTATATATATTGAGCATATTTGATGGTTTATATGCTAGACAAAATATAATTAAATGAAATCTTGTTAGATTCGATTTAATGTATATTTTCAATATACTTTATTTCTTGCTAATTAAACATATGAATAATTAAAGTTATGCATTGACAAGCGTGAAAATCAAATTATAACAATAAAAAAATCACTGAAAAGCAAAAAACAAAGACAAAAAAAAAAAAAAAAATTTGCCATCAAATTATAAATATTACAAGAATCAAGTGTATACTACTCGCAATAAGTTATTGTAAAACCGTCTTAAAGGATGGAGAAGACTATTTGCCTCACTTAAGATTGATCAATATTTTCACCTCCAAAGGCCAGCCACGAATAAGCCCTCCACTCTTTCTCATGCATGCGCCACTTCTACCATGCAACATGTTTAGCCAAAGCCTCGCTGCGTTATTTCTCACACACCCTATTAACCAAGCTCTATGCTCACACTTTCAAAGCAGCTTCAAAAACCTTAAACAAACCCAAAATAAGGATCAAAATTCTTCCCAGCAACGGTCATATAATTAGAAGTTTGGAACAATGTTTCACATAATCGCCACACTATGTCAATGAAACGGGTAACTTATACTCCCTTTATCTCTAATTTTTTTTTGTAACCTGGCCCATTGGTAATTGAGTTTTTTTGTACTACATAATTTACTACGTAGTTCAACGGGTTTGATGGGCACGTATGTAATGAATAATATGGTATAACGGCAATATTTAATACGAGACAAGCTTGTAAACCAACAAAGTGTAAACTCACTTGACAAGTTCTTTACTTTAGATCCTAGAGGCAGCTAAGGTTCGAAGACGTAGAGAGTGTGTATACAATAAGAAAATTTAAGACCGGAGCATGAGAGTTGGGATAAAGTTTTTTGACAACATTCAAGTATTTAATTAGCGGACTACATTATTCCGCAAATAATTAATCCAACTTTACATGGTATTAATCGAAAAAAAAGTATATTCTATAGTACAATGTCTATAGTGCGCCGCCACTTTCTGGCTTTATGTTTGTCTGTTTGTTTATTTATTGCCGTAAACGGACAGAAGAAAGTCTGTTGACTGCTGTCAAATTATAAAAATAATACCAATTGTAAAGGAATTTCTTGATGTCTTTCCAAAGGATTTACCTCCAACTAGAATACGACTACTTATACAAGTACGGACTTCCTCTAGACTTGATGTCCAATATCACCCCAATTTTGAAAGCACCCTAAGAATGACACTAGTGTAAAAATGTGATAGAGTATATATATAAAAGTAAAATTTGAAAAATACTACTAGAGATTGTTCACATTTTGTACAATATCACTTCAATTATTATTATTTTTTTTATTTTTTTTAAATTTTTTTTTATTGTATATTATCACCTAATTTTCTCAAAAACAAAAAAAACTCCCACCCAACCCCCCTATATGACGTCATGGTGGGTCCTACAACCAATTTTCCTTTTCTCTTCCTTCGAATTTCACCTTTCTTCTTCCCTCTTCTTCCTAATTAACCAATTATCAACTAATTAACCTTACAATCAACTCCCCAAATTTAATTTATAAA